AGTGAGGGACGGTTTGAGCTAACATGCACAGATATCAATCTCGCGCCTTTCTCCTACTTCCAATGTGCTTCAATATCGGCGTGATTATCGGTCCGGTCCTGGGTGGTGCACTGGCGGACCCGCTGAATAGCTACCCTGAATTCTTCGGTCCCGGGACATTTCTTGGTGGTACCGATGGAGTTCATTGGATGAGACGCTGGCCATATGCGCTGCCGAATTTGCTCAGTGCGATCTATATCTTTGCCTCATTCTGGGCTGTGTTCTTGGGTCTCGATGAGACCCATGAAATCGCGCGTTACCGAGACGACTGGGGTCGGAAGCTGGGACGCATTATTACGAAGTTCTTTTCGCGCCGGCGGAGTCGCTACTATCGTCGGCTCAGAACACATCCGGACAATGAATCCATTTACATCGATGGCAGCGTGACCAGCATGTCCGCTCCTCCCAGCCCTATCCGTTCCCGTGCTCGGCCGCGCCCCAAACGCCCGAGCTTTTGGCAGATCTGGACACCGAACGTTCTCTTGACTTTGCTGGTTCAATTCCTTCTGGCTTTCCATACCAGCGCATTCAATTCGATGACGTTCACTTTCCTGCCAACTCCACGAGCCCCAGAAGATAGCCGGAAGGGCTTCTTCCGATTCAGTGGTGGTTTGGGATTGCCGTCCTCTCGAGTCGGCATGGCGACGGCCATCATTGGGATCATTGGCCTGCCGTTGCAGATCTTTATCTACCCCCGCGTGCAAGGTTACCTGGGAACCTTGACCTCCTTCCGGGCCTTTTTGCCGTTTTCACCACTTGCATATGCATTGATGCCTTTCCTTCTCGTGCTTCCGCGGGTGCCCTGGATGGTTTGGCCTGCGTTCACGATCGTTGTGGGTCTCCAGGTTATTTCGAGGACGTTCGCTCTCCCCGCAGCTGTCATCCTGGTGAACAACTGCGTCACTGATGCCTCTGTCCTTGGAACAATCCACGGAGTTGCGCAGAGTATCTCTAGCGGGGCTCGTACCCTAGGCCCCATGATTGGAGGCTGGGGCCTAGGGTTGGGGCTCGAGCATAACTTTGTCGGCGGGATTTGGTGGACCCTGGCCCTGGAGGCATTGATAGGCTGGTTCGCCCTATTCATGATCTACGAGGGTAAAGGCATTGAGAGGAAGAAGGTTTTAGAGGAAGAGGAGGAGGATGAATTTGATGAGCGCCGCTAACTACGGTTCGGCTCACTAGATGGACTAGAAATATTAGATTATATATGTGCATGGGGTACATACACGATTACCATGCGACATGGGCATCATGGGTTCATTGATGAGGGTTGTCACGAATCTTACGAGAAATGTCCTGAGATGATTGATTGGAAGTTATTCTTTGATGAAGTGTGGCATATCTGTTTCATAGCATTCATAGATTTTGGTCATTTCAATGGATAAATGGAACTCCGAACCAACAACGCCTCCTCCCCTGCATAGATCCAGTCCATCCAGCCGCGGGCCCCTCTCCACTTCCAAGCCCGACCGACCCGCAGCCTCAACGTGCAAGCGTCGCAGGCGTAATGAACGCCTTGATCGCCTGTGTCGCATTTCCCTCGTGGGCCTTCAACAGCTCTGTGGCCCTGAGCTTATTCAAATCCAACTGATCCACCTGCAAGGCACCGAGCGATTTACACACATTAGCCCAGCGAGCCCCATTCATCAACCAGCCCAATGTCTAAGAACGTCCCCAAAGACACCAAGCAGGTTTGAGGACGGCAGAGCAGAAACCTACCAGAAGATTGACGTCGTCGGCGCTGACCTTGACGGCCTTCTTCTTCACCAGCTCCCCTCCCTCCTTACTCTGCTGCGCCGTCCCCGCCCGCTTCTTGCCCGCAGGGTGACCGGCTGCAATCTCGAGACGGCTCATGGCCTTGCCCAGGGCCTCCTGGTCGGCGGACGAGGGTAGCTTGGTCGGGGAGTCAGTGGCGGCGATCTCGTTAGTATGGAGGGAGGAGAGGGCGGCGGCGGCTTTGCGGTCCTCGGCGTTGGCGGGGAGCGGTTGCTCGGCGGCGTCGGGGTCGGCGTGCGCTGAGGGGATGGAGTCGGACATGGTTGAATGGTTATGTTTGTTTGTTTGTTAGTTAGGTTACTTCTTGCTGTTGATTGAGATTGGTGATAAGAGAGAAATAATCAATCCTTAGATTAGAAGGGATGTTTCAAGCCCATATTCAAGGGTGAACACAACACCAATGAATGAATGTAGTTATCACAAGCACCGGTGCATGACGTACAGTCCAGACTCCAGAGAAACAAACAGACAAACATGCCGGTAGAATAATCAACCTAACAGTCCGGATCTAACCTCAAGTGGCCTAGTGCCGGGGAATAATGAGTCAGGCCGCAAATAGCCGTGCGTTCCTCACCTTCCAGAACGTAGCATGAATCATCCCATGTCAGGCCTGGTGCAACTTCGAACTTGGTCTTGCTTTCTTTTTCTCTCCCCATTCCTCTCTCTCTCCCCCCCTTTGATTCCCTTCTCTTCCTCTCTCTACTTCTCAACCAGTCAAATTCAAAGATAATCTTCATTCTTTTTCTTTCAGTTTGTCTCATTGAAGTTGGCGGTTCCCGTACTCATCGAAACATCCAAAGAAGGGTCCAATCCACTCCGGACTTATCTCCACACTTTTTTTGCGTGTCCGCTGTCATTCCAAGCTCTTTTTAGCCGTCGATCATTGCTAGGATCATACCTGCGTACAGCGCCTCCCTGCCTCCTTCTCTTCGACCTCCTCACAAGCCACCAACTTCACCGCCAAATCTATATATCCCAGAATCCAGTATCATGGAGACCTGGTCTCCTACGTGTATGTTCTGTCAACGAGAGCAACACCCCCATGGGCCGAATCCAAGAAATGCTGCTAATACCGTCTGGCTCTTAGCTTGGACGTCCAAGCCCGCCAAACAATGCGTCGCGTACGAGGACACAGAGGCAAATGAGGCAGCCCTCGAGAAGCTACGGAAACTTCCCCCGTTGGTCACCACACAAGAGGTGTGTTTTCCTGTGTAATGTGTAACTCATGCTTTGTACCGGCATTGGAGGTCTTCTCTGTGCATGTGTATGTGTGCATATGTTTGACTGGTCGCAAATTATGGCACAGGTTGCGAACCTCAAGAAGAGCCTGCAAAATGTCGCCCTGGGGAAGGCGTTTGTGCTTCAGGGAGGTGGGTTTCTAACTTTATTCCTTGACGTGAACAAGAGCTCTGACATTAACAAGGTGACTGCGCCGAGCTGTTTGATTACTGTAACCAGGAGATGATCGAAGCCAAAGTCAAGCTGCTTCTCCAAATGAGTCTGGTATTGATTTGGGGTAAGTCTGTTATACCCCGCCAATGCGATGGTGATGATGCTCATGCAGGCCTTCTAGGTGCGAATAAGCCCGTGGTGCGGATTGCGCGGATTGCAGGGCAGTTTGCAAAGTACGTTCGTTCCGCTTACTCCGCCGTCGGGATATTCTGGTACGATTTATTGTAGGACTCATGTACTAATTCGGCACCACCAGGCCTCGATCCAGCCCCATGGAAACGATCAACGGGGTCGAGATGCCCTCCTTCCGAGGCGACAACATCAACGGCTTCGAAGCGACGCCCGAATCGCGCAAACCAGACCCCTCGCGCTTGGTGTCGGCGTACTTCCACTCCGCCGCGACGCTGAACTATATGCGCGCCTCCCTCTCCTCCGGTCTCGCGGACCTGCACTCCCCGCTTGACTGGGGTCTGGGCCATGTTATCACCCCCTCCATCAAGGAGAAATACGAACGCATCGTGTCGCGGGTCAAGGACGCCCTTCGTTTCATGCAAACCGTCGGCATCGACACCGACCGCGGCGTCGAGACCGTCGACGTCTACACCAGCCACGAGGGCTTGCTCCTCGAATACGAAACCAGTCTCACCCGTCTCCTCCGCAATCCCCCACCCCCCAATTCCTCCCCTGCTTTCTCCATGTTCTCCCCTCCTTCGTTTTCCCAGCCACCACCACCCGCCGTGGACCCGAGGACAAGCACGACAAGAGCACCGGCAACGGCAACAAGCATAACCCCGCAAACCCCACTCCTCCCCTCGAAATCCTTCTACGCGACGTCCGCGCACTTCCTCTGGATCGGCGACCGCACGCGCCAACTCGACGGCGCGCACGTCGAGTTCTTCCGTGGCCTCGCCAACCCGATCGGCATCAAGATCGGGCCGAGCATGACCCCAGAGGAATTGACGCAGTTGCTGGACGTCGTCAACCCCACGCGCGAGATCGGCAAGGTGACGCTGATCTCGCGCTACGGCGCCGCCAAGATCGCCGGCCACCTGCCGGGCCACATTGAGGCCGTCCAGCGCGCCGGCCACCTCCCCGTTTGGCAGTGCGACCCCATGCACGGCAACACCCAGAGCACCCCTACCGGTGTCAAGACCCGCCACTTCAGCGACATCCTGTCCGAGCTGCGCCAGGCCCTCGAGATCCACCGCGCCCACGGCTCCTTCCTCGGCGGCATGCACCTCGAGCTCACCGGCGAGGCCGTCACCGAGTGCGTCGGCGGCGCCGCCGGGTTGACCGAGGAAGGGCTCGGCGAGCGCTACACCACCTTCTGTGACCCGCGACTGAATGAGAAGCAGGCCCTCGAGCTGGCCTTCCTGGTCGCCGGGTTCTACCGCGAGATGGATGAGTCGGAACGCGGGAGGATGAACTCCATTTGATTTGTTGCCTGGAGCTTGTAGACCAGGAATGAGCGAGGGAGAGTAGTATATCTTCAACATGTTTTGATCATGGCCTAGGACCATGTTCTATCTTGGGAGGGGTTTAATATCAGGGAACGGGTTTCTCGGATATACGAACCTCTTTTGGAGGCCGACAACACCCCTTTTGACAAAATATTTGGTTTTATTATGAGCGACACAGTGAGTCGGGCGGTATACGAAAGGAGCCATTCAGTCTTCAAGAAAGAGAGAAGTAAGAAAGTTTAAAATTTTATTTATTCAAGAATATGAGATATCCACATCGACCCAAAAACCAGCTAAAAACAATAATAACAAACCATTCTGCAAATAGGGGGGGTATGTAGGTGTCCCAATACACAAAATCAAACCAGGGGAAAACAAGAACCAGACCCAGTCAGTTGATAGAAAACGGAAAAAAGAAACAACCATCCGAAACCAACTCCTAAACACGACCCTGCCCTACTCAACTGACAACTAGAATGAGCAAGATAAGGCAAAGTGGAAGATCACTCCACAAGCGGACTGCCAACCCGGGGCTTGTAGGCCATGCTCTTCCGGCGCGCGGCCTCGAGCTTGGAGCGCAGCTTCTGGTTCGGCTCGCGCACGGGGCCGGGGGTGTTGAAGAGACCCTGGCGGGTCTGCTTGGGCGGACAGGTCTGCTGAACGAGCTTCGTGCGCTGGGAGAGATAGAAAGGGGTGGTGGGGGACATGCCGATGGCGTCCATGTCGAAGGCGTAGGCGGAGGAGCCGGGGGTTTGGGGCGTGTGGCAGTACCGCTGGTCGGGTTCGGTGTGACCCACTGTGTACTCGACCTGTTCGGGCGGCGTAGCCGTCGAGGACTCCTCCGGCTCCTCCTCCCGGGAAGAAAGAGGCGGCGTGCTGTGGTCCCGGGTGAAGCTCTCCACGGTGTCTCGGCTGATGGCGCCGGAGCGGCGGCGATCCATGGCCGTGGCGGTTGCGGTGGCCCGGACCAGCGTGCCGTTGACGTTGCTCAGCGCGCGCGGTTCCATGCTCTTGCGGCGCTTGGCACCGCCGCGCGGGACAATGGAGCTGTCGACGGTGTAGGGGGTTTCGTCGAGCCATTTGTTCTCCCGCTCGCAGTCGAGAACCCAACCGACACCAACACACTTGACCAGGCCACGCGCATGGCGAACCTTCTCCAGCGTCCGAGCACTTCCGTCCTTGAAGACCACATGGGTGACGCCCACTTTGCCCTCCTTGGGTTCCACCCCTTCCTCCGGGGCCAGGCTCGCGCGCGGGTTCCAGCACCAGTTCTTGATGCATCGGGCTCCCATTTGTTGAAGCAGCTCGATGAAAATACCACTAGCATCTTCTCCCTCCGTGGTGTGCACATCCACATACACAACCGCTCCTTGCAAAGCCAGCTTAGGCGCCGGTGCGCTCATGCTCCTTCTTGGGGCCTTTGCGCTCTTAGTCGGGCTTGGTGATTGCGGAGGGCGCTTGGCAGGCGTCGATCTCTCATTCTTAGACTCGGCGGGGTGTGTCACCGGGGCGACGGGCCTGGACATTGAGACTCTCTGAAGTCTCGGTGATTTCCGAGGTGACAATGGCGGAACAGTCTGCTGGGTAGGAGCGAAAGCCGAAGTGCGAATTCTGGTGGAGGCACGAATAGGCGAAGCACCCGAGAGCGAGAGACCTCTCTTGCGTGAAATCTTCAGCGGCGAAATTTGACCTTCAGGTTTGAGAGGCACCTTGGAAACAGTGTGTACTGTTTGCATCTGAGGAATTCGGTTCTTGACAGGGGTGAAGAGAGGAATGTTGGAAAAGACCTCATTCTCCTTGTTATCATCAAATGCGTCAATTGCAGGGACCGGGCTCTTCGACGCAGAGGCGATCTCCGTCACTAATTCCTCGCCGGGAGCTTCCTGGATATAGTTGTCAAGGGTAGACTCAACCTCTGTTCCGTTTGGCATGTCAACCACAGGGCCTTCTGTCTCCTGGATATCTTCAGAGAGATAGGCCTTTAATTGCGAACTCTGACTAGGGTCTTCGTAGATCTGAGGGCCGTCGACTTCCTCAGTTTCAGTGACAGGCTCTTCAGTCTCAGCAAGAATGATCTCTTTCGCCTGAGATTGCTGGTTGAGATCTTCGGATGTTTGAGGACCATCGACAACTTCAGTAGTTTGCTCAACGAGTTCCGCAGGCTCGGTAGGTTCGGTGTTGTTGGTCTCTGACGGACGAGGGCTCTGGCTAAGGCCTTCGTAGATCTCCGACTCGTCCTCCTCAGACATCTGCTCAGCGTCCTCAGTAGTGCCAGGCTCTTCGAAGGCAGGGGTCCGGCTGAAATCTTCGTAGTCCTCGGGACTCTCAGTCGCCTCTGTATCCTGCTCGGCAGTGTCTGCAGACTCTACAGCCTCAGCAGCCTCAGTGTCTTCTCCCTGCGAGTCCTGGCTGGAATCTTCGTGGTTTTGAGGATCCGGGTTCTCGTCAGCAACTTCTGGTTCAGCCTCCGTAGTCTCACTTGCATCAATTTCTTCCGATTGCATGCTGTGGCTGACATCCTCGTGACTCTGAGGATCGTCGTCCTCGACAATTTCAGCGTCGGCCTCAACCGCTTCTGACTGCGCAGGCTCCTCCGACACAGCATCTTCCGCTTGACGGTCGATTTGAGGATAGTTGACCTCTTCCGGGGTGGGAAGTACGTTGCCGGATGACCTGCGGCTGCCACCCAAGGAGAATATACCTTTGCGTGGGCGCTGCAAACGCCGAGGCTGGAATCGCGCGGGACTGCTGGCCTTCCATTGGCTGAATTGCTGTGCTAGAGGTGTGAAACGCGGAGCGTTGTCAAAGATCGAACGCTTTATAGACCGTCTGAGAAGTGGTGTCGCGGAATTAACGTCGACAAACGGGTCTTGGTTGCCACTGGTGTCTACCGTGAAGCCCTGTCGAATTGGACTTGGGCTGTCAGCGGTAGACTCGAAGCTCATGTTCCGCCGTACAGGGCTGTCTGGTAAGACGCGGACCGGTGAGATGTTCTTCATCGCTCTGTAGTAGGCTTCACGAATTGGACTCCAGGGATTTTCTGGCTCTTCAACCTCGTATGGCAGGATGGGGACACGACTGCGCGGAACGATCTCTGTTGGTTCAGCAACAACAATGGTGGGCTCATTCTCTTCGAAGACGCAATCCTCAACGATGCCTTCTTGCTGATCACGGGACATATCTTCCTCTGCAGCCTCAACGTCGTCATCGGTCTCCATCATGTCAGGGTCATCCTCCGTATCCGAGGAGTAAAGACGCTGGTCCACCTGTTCAGGTAGTGCGGGCTCATCGACAAAGACATCGTCAAGGTCCTTGGCTAAGCTGTTTCGCATGTTGGGGATGGGCGTGTGCTGTTCCTCCGCAATTGGTTGGTCTACCTCCTCTTCCACAACTGAATTGGGTGTTGCCGCGCGTTCCTGGCCAATTGTATCTTGATGGCTGTCTTCAGCAATAGATACTGTCTCGGGCATATCTTGGTCCAAATTGACGCGTTCATCATCCTGTTCCTGATTGTCGCCATCAGAGGCATCGTCCAGTGTCGCATCCACTGAAATTTCGCGAACAAGGGGATTATCATGATGTTCTTCTGCATAGTCATCAGACTCTACATCAACCTGCAGAATATCCATTTCCTTGTCAGCATGATGTTGAGACTCGAGAATATCCTCGGCAACAGGCTCTCCTAGGGAGCCTTCATTCAACTCCCCAACATTCTCATCGTTGACATCCTCAGTGGGCTCCGCATTTGGGTTCTCTTCAAACACTTCAACTGCCTCCTGGGTCACTTCCTCGCCAGTCTCCTCCATAGGCACATCCACGTGCTCGGGGACAGGGTCGACCTCTTCCATTTCGTCAATTTCTAATTCCTTTGGCATGCTTCCAGCATCTTCTTTTATGGCCTGATCCTCGCTCTGATCGCCCTCTTCCTCAACGTTTTCTCCGACGACTTGGGCGACATCTTCAGCAATTGTACTAGCATCATCCTCAACGTACTCAACAGTCTCCTCAGAATTACGTTCAGCGCTCTCCCCATTCGCCGCACTGTTCTCATAGTGGCGTGCTACCGAAGGCGAATGAGGCGGGGTTGTGCTGACAGGGTCGAGTTCGTCATTCTCCTCTGATGTCGCGTCCTGAGTTGCATCATCCTCCTCATCGGCCTGGGTCTCTACCCTGGTTTGCATGAGTCGGAGAGGGGATTCCTCAAGGTGAGAATCATCAAAAGCGTCGTTCTCTCCCGGTTCTTCTTCGTTACCATACTCGTGCTCGAACTCTTCGGGTACTGGGCTCTTCATGACGGACAAAGAAGCTTTGAACGGAGTGGCGACCTTCTTCGCGGGGCTTTGAAGGAGGGACGTGCTATGTCTCAAGGGAGTGGCGGAAGGCTCTGGTTGAGATTGAGACATGAAGGACGCGCCAAACAGACCTTTTCTGGGCGACGATTTCAGGGGGGAGTTGCGTCCCGGGGTGAAGTTCGGTTGAGACACCGAGCCGGTACTGGTGCCAAAGAGATTGCCGCGTCGGGGGGTTTCCAGGGACGCTTTCTTCGGAGATAGCCTGAGCGGAGAGTTGAGGGTGGGCGACAACGTCGGTTGCGACAAGGGATTGATGTCACTGCGGAGAGTCAGACCGCCACCTCGTCTGGGCGTTTCTCTCATTGTGAAATTGAATGGCGAAGGGGGTGGTCGGCGGGCGGGGCTCGACAGGAGAAGGTTATTATCGTTGAAGTCGACCGAACGTCGAGGACCGGGCAGTGGGTCGCCATTTTCATCGATGGATTTGCGGAAGTGTCGTCCTGTAAGATTGATTCTCTTGACTGGGGAGCTAAGTCCGGTGTTTTCTGATCCGTGTTTGGGAGGCGATTGAAGGATTGCTTTCATCTGATCCTTGTCCGCACTCAACTCATCATCCTCGCCATCCGAGCTGGCGTAGGAAGAAAGCCCCTTGGCGACTTGCGTCGCCTTCTTCGGCGAGAGCGGTTTCGACGAGTCGTCCTTCTTCCCTGCCGCAGGCTTGCGACCCCTACCGGAGGTGGCCGCGGGTTTCCGCACCGGCTTGGACGCAAGACCTCCCTGGCGCCCTGAGGCGGAGGCGGCGCCCCTTCTCCTGCCAGCAGGAGGAGGAGACGGCTCATTCAATTCATCCGCATCCGTATCCGTGGGGTCCTGGAAGGTGACTTTCTTCTTCTTGGCCGGTCCGCGCAGCATGTTCGACCGCACGGACGAAGAGTGGGTGGTAACGTGCACTTGCCTCGGGGCCTCCTGCAACGATGAGAAGTCGATATCCATAAATCCTTTGGCGTTCAACCGCGTATTTTCCTTCAATTCGTCAACCACCTTCGGCTTCGCAGCTGCGGTCCCCTTCGGTCGACCTCGGGTCTTGGGTGCAGCCGCAGCCTTGCCGGCCTCCTTGGCGACAGCGGCGGGCTTCGCCTTCGGCCTTCCAGCGCGCTTCTTCGGGACCACCTCCGACTGAGCCAGCTCGTCGTCGTTGTCACTGTCCGATTCCGCCGCGGCCGGCGGCGTCGCGACCACCGGGGTCTTTCGTGTGCGCGCGGCTACGGTACTTGCCCCAGCCTTCGCTGCGGGCGGCCTCCCTTTGAACTTCGACGTGGCCGTCTCTTTCCCTCTCTTATTCCCGGCGAACATATCGATCTCGTCGTCCGTCGTCGCGTCCGCATCCTCCTCCTCGACGGGTCGCTTGGTGGTGGCTGTCGTCGTCGTCGTGACTGACGCGGTCCGGACGCCTCGCTTCCGGGCCTCCGTGGCTGAACTAGGTGCCTTAGCCTTCGTGGCCTTCGGCGCGGCTCTGCTGCTGGCCGTCGTCGTCGTTGTCGTTCCCTTGGTGCGGGTGCGCGTTGCCCGCTTGGGCGGGGACTGTGGGATGACTGCTGCGCGAGCCATGCTGCCTGTTATTCGTGCCTTCACGCGTCGAAGATCGAAGAGTTGCCGTCTGTGTTTGTTGGTTTCCTCCCGCTTACTGTTGCTGGTTTTCGTCGAATGTGTCGCGCGCGGGAAGGAGGGAGCCGGGTTAGTATCGACGAATTCACTCTGCTCTCATTTTGTGACTGCTTGTAGTGACAAAATCAATGGCCACTATGTCGGATTGCCCCGACGTTTCGATATGTAAGATGGTCGTAACAAGCAGGGGGGGCGCGTTGGGTGTTGGCTGGGTTAAGGTTGTGGTGGAATAAGCTTGCAGCTTTCGGCGGCGAGCGAGCGTCGGGCGTTTCAGGCGTTTCGTCAGAGTTCGAAGCTTGGGTGGAAACAACCAACCAAGACTGCCCGCCGCGTGTTGCCGACCTTGCTTGTTTGGGAAGTCGACGGGGACAGTTGCCCTGACAACGTGCCACGTGATGACAGCCATTCTGCGTCGATCATTTACAGAGACATACCTAGTATGTATGCACAGCACTGCTCCCTAAGAACTTTACTATGCTTAGTACTGTTCAAATAGATTTACATGATAAAAAAAAAAAAAAAAAAAAAAAAAAAAAACACCAAAACCACACCTTGAAAGGGATTAACCAGAAAACTTTTACAGCAAAGCGCCCGCAGTCACTGTTGCAGCCAAGGCACCAAGAAATACAGCACGCGACACAATAGCGCCTTCACTGCTGAACACAACAGCCGGCTTATACTCGCTCGGTGTACTAGAGTCCGTCGTGCCATTCCAACAGTACTTGTCAAAGCACCGATTACAGATATCCGGTACACTGGTGTTGGTGCGTTCGAGCGATCGACTTAGAATCGCGCACCCCACACACGTCGACCAGTCCGTGTCACGGCTATTGTTACCCATTGTCGCAACGTCGTACCCGTTCTGGATAATCTGATCTCTCTGCGACTCTTCGTATTCCGGTTTGAAGGTGGAAACGTTTGAGTAAGACACATACGGGTAATTGGGAAGGTAGACAATTAGCGGCGCTGGTCCCGTCAGGTTTGACGAGTTGCAGCCAAAGAAGGTCGGCCGCGTATTGAGGCCCAGGTTGACGAAGGTATTCTGGTCTGGAACCGCTGGGAAGGCAGTCCCGTTTCCAATGCCTGTGGAGTTCAAGCTCCGTTCGTAGGTAGCAACCATAGCAGTACCATTCGGCCAATTGTTATCAGTGTCAGCAGACGAGTCCACCGCGAAGATCACGTCAACATGACGCTCGGGCTGAATCAGGGGGTGCAGTGGGATATTTTGGAGATCTTCACCACCATCTACTAGGTCGAGCATGGTTGCATTTGCGGCGGGCGATGAGTTGTTGGCCCAATGGTAGAAAGGATTCGGTGTGTAGAGCGCAATGTCGTAGTTTTCTTGTCCAATGTCCTCCAAGACGCTGGTGAAAGCTGACTTCAAAAAGTCCGGGAGAGCTGTCGAATTTACCTGTAGGAGAAACTGATTGAAAAGACTGGATGAAGTCCCCATGACAAAGCCCGCGTTGTCAAATCCCCTAACACAGCTTTCATTCTTAGGAAGAGACCCAGCCACAAAACGAGACCCGAGATACTCAACAGGCGCAAACCCATAGACGGTAGGGTCAAAAGTGCCAAATTCCCAAGGGTTGAATTCATAGACGGTAGCATTGCTGCTCACAAGTAGTTCATCCGGATACCGACCGTCAGCAACCAGTATCGGTATCGGCATATCAGCCTGCTTGAAGGAATCGGTCAAAGCAATTGATGACCAGGTGTAGTCGATCCCCCCGTTGGAAGCATTGATCAGCTGATAAGAAAGGGCACGACCCCTAGTACATCACAGTCAGCGAATCTCAAATCTCAGCCTGAGGAGTGTACACTTACCAATAATCGGTGATGGAAGTGTTGAACCCCGCACGCGACTTTCCCTGCACAGCATCATAGATATCCCTATAGTAAGAGGCAGAGTTGATAAGCTGAATGCCATTTCCTTCTGGTCCCTCAAAGATGGAATTCTGGAACTGCCAAATGTCGCCGTCGTCGTACGTCTGCAAATCGGAAATGGTACTGAAGTTGTTCATATAAAGCGAACCAACCAGCCAGCCACCGCCGCTCAAGCCAGCCAGATATGTTGCAGACTGCAGCAGGCCACCAAGCTGACCATCACTGGTGGAGTTGTTCGTCCGGCTATCGAAAGCCTTGATCGCCCCTGCACCGTTCATCAGAGCTCGATAACCGCCTCCCGACACCGCTATTCCGATATTAGGCAGATCGGATGTATTTCCGGATACTCGATCGATATATTCCGTTGCGTTGAAGTCCGCGATGGTGACATGGCCGAAGAAGTCTTTAAGGGCGGACTCAGTCTTTCCCCGGCGAGTCTTGAGCCACGAAGTCTCGTTCGAGGAAAGGGTCGAGGCACTGCGCACAGTAGGCCGAGTAG